TTGGACTGTAACAAAAACCAATCTCAGAGAAATTTATTAACATTTTGGGGCTCTCTGAAGGTGATATGTAATTAAGATTTGAGGCAAAAAGAAGGAGATACTTGTCTAAAGCAAACATTAATTTGATTAGCCTTGAAACCTTTCAATCTACTGGGGCCAAAACCTTTCCTAGTAGGCAAAGGAGGTTCCTGCTGTAAGTCAGGGTAACAAACCTCTTCCAAAACTGACATGCAGAAGGTGAAGCTTCATCTGATTGTTTCCAGGTCTCATGCCAATGACTGGAAACAATTTTAAGACTTCAAAACTTTAGAAAAAAAACCAACCCCCAAAAAAATTCAGTCAAAAGATTTAGAGTCGCAGATGCTGAAGCCATATGACTTCAGGAGGTACTTAGTTGTCATTAGAAACATCTCATCCACATGATTGCTCACAATCAAGTAGTCCAATTTCAGAGAAGAAAAAAAAAGCTCCAAATCTGTTGCACTTTAAATTCAATCTGCTGGGTTTGGCTGCAGGTTTTTGTGTATGTGGAATCAGCAGAATGAGGAAGGAGTGGACTCAATCAATCAGTAGGTCTTTTTTCTTCATCTGAATACTCAGGGAATTGTCATCACCAACAGTAAAGTCTAAATGCCACTTAGCCGAGATTTACAATATGGATGAATAAGGAACCTCCTTTTCTCAAAGTTGTGGTATGCTCAATCCACGTCCAGACGATACTGACTGTATTTTTTCTCACCTTTTTCCTCAAAATGCAGATGTTTTGATTTTCCACAGAATGTAAAATCAAACATCCATTCACTCCTGACCTACATTTGCTGCAGGTCATTTAATTATGAATGAAAATGTCACTTTGTTTATATAAGTTCAATTTATGACAGAGATTAATTTATGAAATTTGTTCTCCTGGCATCTTATTAATACTGCTCTGCTGTAAAATTCCTCAGGCAACAGGCAAAATAATGACTTAAAACTGCAATGAGATAATTACCTAACAGTGCAGGCATTCTGAAGAGAGACGTAACTCTGGATTTGAAAACACAATTTTTAGGACCTTATCCTTTATATAAAGGGTATAAAACACTTACAATTACCTTAATTTATTTTCACGACATTTTGGTTTAGATGCAATCAATTCCTAGTACATTAAAGAAAATTTTGTCATTATTCAATAACAGGATTTAGCTATTCACAGCAATTTTCTTAACCTTTAGTTCTGAAAAGGTAAGTCTTCAAATCTTGGCAAAATTACATTTGTGCCATGATGAAACACTTTGATCTATACACTACCTTTATTGCATCTGGTATGCCAAGATGCTTTGATGAATGAAAAAAAGAAAAAGAGCAAATTCAGCACTTCCCATCAACTTCCAGCTGAAAGGCAGTTGTACATGTGCAGAAGAGCCAAGTCCTCACTGATGCAATGCCATGGAAGAGGATTCTTCTGAAGAATCTCTAAAGCACATGTCATAAACTACATCTAAATCTTAAGTGGACACAATTAATTAATTTATTTGAATTAGCTCCCTCTCCTTTCAAATGGAAGTAAATACGATTTCTCTGTGCTTAGTGCTAATTCACACAGCTCAGGATCATGAACTTTCCTAAGCATCCCTTTATAGGCAACACCTGATGTAGAAATAGCACAAGAGATGAATCCACAAGAGTGGAGCGGGTTAAACTCCTGGGAAAAGATCTTTAATATAGTGCTTTTCCCCCTGGTCAGTTCTGCAAGGCCAAGAGTGCCAGAGGGGACACCCTGCCATCTCTACACATGGATCCAGCTCCTCACTGGCCTGCTTATTCACTGTCACAAGACGACCCCATTAATATGAGAACATTGTTACTGATGAAGATGCACAAGCCCATGGGAACAGTTCACTGTAAACCTACTCTCTGGTGTTCCAGGTACACAAAGCAAAACAACTTCAACCAACCAGGCAGGCTGGAGAAAGTTTTCCGTATTTTTTCTTATTCCGACTCTAAAGTCGCAAGATTCTAGACAAGCAAGGTGCTTAACTTCATCATTTCCCCACACAGCTCCAAAACAGACATGACTTACTCAGACACTTATGGTCAGAGCTCACATTGGTATTTTCAGAGAAACATTACCCTTGTGTTTTTTCTCCCCTGTAAGAAAAGCAAGACTACTGTCAAGATACAGTCAGGACAGTCTTTCACAAATAAAAAACATCAATCAAACAGAAACCAAAGGAAACACATACAGGTCTTTCTGCTTGGACACCAACACATGGGAGATGGCAACCCAGCAAATGGGAACACAAACAAAACTCAATTGCCTCCTGAAAGTGTTTTCTTACCTTTTTGCAACTAAAACTACAACATCAGTTTTTGAAACTAAAGGCTAATTGGGAACATACATCCCTGCCCCCCGCTTACAGCTGGTCTTCATGATGATTTCTGAGATAATCTAAGCATCACATTTAGAGAGCATGAATATAGAAGATTACTGTAATAAATGTGAAAACATTGAAGTTTGCCCCTGATTCTGTTCTTGCTTTCCTGGTTTATTTTTTTAACAGATACTACTAGCGATTTCTGAGAATAAATGTAACGGTTTCCCGACAATCAAAATAATTTTCTGTCTCTATCAAGTGAGTGTAAAAGAAAGGTGAAAGCACTGTCTCTGAGCAAGAAATTGGCAGTTCTCCCCTACAGCCTCCTACCACACTCCACCACCCTGAAAAGATTTCAGATGTTCAAAAGCCATTAAGAGCACAAGCAGACAGGATTTATAGGGGTTTAATTCCTCATGCACTCCAGATGTTGTTCTGAGTGTAAATTACAGTTTATAAAAGCTAGCAAATATTGTCCTTCCAAGCAAAAAACACCCATAATGCCTGTAACATTTAGCTAAGGTCAGACATATTAAAGAAGTGATGACATATGGTTATATTAAAACAAACAGTTTGTAATTTTTCATTACTACAAAAACAGCCTTGGAATGAAAGTTCATGATTTGCATAGGGACAATGATTAGATGCCAACACACATACGGATGTCTTGGATCCAAACTGGTAGCATCATGTGTGGTACTGCATTCTTGTTTCTTGTTAACTCTGAACATGGATTTTTAAAACAAACCTGTCTCACTGGTCCTTTGTTCCCTTCCTATTTAGCAAATGCAGCTTTTATATGTGCAGAATCTCACTTTGATAATATTAATTACAAAAGGAAGCAGTTGCAGTAGGTATAAAAATTCCAATCATTTACAGAAGGCATTGTTAAAAAGTAAGCAAGAAAAGATGTTACTGAACTGGGCCTTCCAAGTGGAAACAACTGAGAGCAGAATAGACAAAGCCTCTGTGGAAAGTTCTGTACAAAGAAAGTTCTTATCTGCATGTTACATGAATTTTCCAGAGAAGATTTACACTAAACAATGTTTATCACTTGGGCAGAAGGAGATGAGGCTTTTCAGTAATCTTTACTGGCATACTCTTACTGTTTTACACCCAATGGAGAAACGCCTTCATTGTATTCCCTTTCTTTAAAAGTTTCAACAGCAAAGTGGTCCTCTTAGCTATTCAACAATTAAAAATAAAGGGAAAAAAACCCCTCCTATTTTTAATATCATCTGTTCAATTTACTATTAATTAATTAATTAAAACCACAGCACAAAAACCTGTCTTGTTATTTTTAGGCACATCAGCTATGCAAAGAGTTTTCAGTGCAATCCATCAGGGAGAGGCAGCTGATTGCAGAAGGCTGAGGTGTGTGAACTGAGCATACCACAGAGCCAGCAAGCACAGCCAGCTTGTAAAGACAGCACAATCTCTCTCTAGGTTCCTGTCCCCTGCTTCAGATTTACAGCTGATAAGTTACATTAGCAATGATCCTCACTCCAGTTCATGGCGTATTCTTTAAAGCTTCTTCAATGTGTGTGCATGCACAGCACAGCAGGCACACACCCACACACATCCCACAGTGTCAGCAAGAGGACTTGGAACACACCAGTGCCTCTTTTAACTGCGGACCGTGTGCCACTTACCAGGACCACGCAATGAAAGCCTGGCTGACAGCTCAGCTCAGCAGAAATTGATGGTATTGCTGTAATGGAGTTATCAGTGACAAATACCTCCTATGCAACTTCCAGGTCACACTCACTTAAGCAATGATAAATGAGCATGAAACACTGTTAGCACAAAACAAGATCATAAATACTCAATTCTGAGCTTAAAAAACACAACCATTTCAGACAGCTGTTGTATCTTGTAGTCTCCATGATTTTATGGATGCTCTCACTCTTGTCACAGAGGTGCCAAAAAACAGCAAAAGATGACTTTATGCAGATATTAAAAAAAAACTTAAAAAGAAAGAAAAAACCCAAGTCATCCATCCAGAGCAAACATTGCATCACCCTACACTGGCTAATAAACAATTACCTCAGTGAACCTGACAGAGTCTGTAACAGCTTTTGGAATCCCAAGGTCTGACATCCATCTGTCCATCCTTCTGTCATAGAAAGCTGCTCAGAATCAGAGGATGCAGACTGTGAACACAAACATGAGAAGTTGTGAAACTCAGATGGTTTGGGATTCCTCTGACCAAACACTGACAGAGGTGGGAAAACAATGGAGAAAACGAGGGAAAGTCCATGGTGAAGCAGCCCTTGGAATTGTGCTTTATCACAGGTTACCTCACAGGCTACGGTGGCTTTTAAGAATTAACAAAGTGTATTCCTGAGGGTGTTTGCTGATTACAGTGAGATCAGAAAGCTTGGGACAGACTGGCAGTTGCTTCTGCACTGCAGCAGCACAACGGGAGCACCTTCTGTCTCCCCTGCACCTGGGACTTCCAAGGTACATGAAGGGCATCAACCCTTCTCTCCTTCCCAGTTGTCACTCAACCAAAGCCCATCCAGCTCATCCAGAACTCAGCCAAACACTGCTTGTGAAAATGGGATCCCTCTGGCCATTTCCATGAGCAGAGCTATCTAGGCACAGTGCAGGAAGCTCCCTGCTCACCCACCACCAACCTACTCATTCCTGCTCCCCCAGACGTGTCTGTTGGTCACCATCCTTGTTTCCATTGCTGCTGTTTGATGGATGAAATCCCTTAGTATCAACAATGCAAACATCATAAGCACAGCTACATATAAAACCTTAGGAAAAATCAAATTATATCTTTATCCTAATTTCCTGTAATACTAAAAAAATTAATTCCTTACTGTCTTAAAAAAACATTTTGGAAAAAGTTTGAAAGGGTTTTATTTAGGAGAATCTCAGCCCAACTCTTACAAATCATAAAAACCCTTATACAACATGTTAATTATTTATATATTTTTACGGGGTTATTTGCTTTTATTAAGTGACATTTCCTTCATGAAGTTTAATGAATAATCCAACATCTACTTGCTTATCAAAAGTTTGGAAACATCAGAGTATCTGCATATGAAGATGAAACCTCACATTCCCACTGACACCCATCCAATTTACAGTAGCTAATTGTATTTTACATTGCTATGCAGACAGAAGCAACCTCACAATACTGTACAGGAAGAATAAATTTCTCAGCTCTGTGTAATGTGTCAATTTACTATTGTAACTATTCGCAGTATTATGCCCTGTGCATTCAAATGTGCTGGAATTCTTCTGTCCTGGAAAGCATATTAAGTGACAAATTACACAACATGGCTTCAGTCAGAATTTTTTAATTGTATTCCTACAAAATTATGTAAACATTAGCATACAGATCCAGAAAAATCAATACAATATAATGGTGCATAAACTGTAAGTTTAGAAGAATGTCAGGAACACCTCAACAGTTTATAAATTAATATATACAGTATTGGATATGCCTCATGGGATAAGGAAACCTCAAAACAGAGAAATTTAGGTGCAAGAGCTGTAGAACAACAGAAGTGCTCAGACACCAAACTTGACTATGAGACAACATTGCAATCGACATGACTGCCTGTTGTTTCATTTTAAGGATTCAATTCAGCTGCTAAAAAGTTCAAAACAAAAGTTTTGGTAGGAAGTCTATTTTTATTGGAAATCATACAGCAAACATCCCTAAAATAAAAAATCCCAAACCCAGAATACTCCATCACCAGGTTTCTGGAAGAGTGAAACTGAAGCTTTCTAGGCTGCACAAGGAGATCACTGGCATCTCCATTCTACACTGCTTCCCCCGAGCACTGAAGGCATTGCCAGCTAAGGGAGTTTGGAAATGGGGAGTGGTGGGTGGGGAGAAAAAGAAAGATGTAGAGCACATATTGAGCTGACATGCAGCAATCTGGGCAGTTCAGCTTTTTACTGAATTAGAACATCATGGGAATGTAATACCACTGTTAACTAATTCTGGGCTATTTTGCTTTAAAAAAACCCAAACCAAACAACAACAAAATAATCTTCAGCCTGACTGTGATCAAAATCACATTCAAAGCATTCTTACAATGCTGCCCTTTACGAGATCAGGAACACACCACAGAATCCAGGATATATCACTTATATTATTCAGACAACACATGAAATGAAAAAGTAGTTATTTTCCTTTGTTCCTGTCCATACAAGCATAATTCACAAGAGAAAAAAGCATGGTAAACACATCCTAATGAATGATCTCAAACAAAAGGCATTCTTCCCTATATTAGAAAATGCTCAGTACCCACTGAAACAACAGACTGCTTAAAAAGACTAGGATTATCCTGAAAGCATTTGACACTGCAAGAACTCTTTTAATTGCATACCTATAATATGATTATAAGAGAATCTCTCCAAAGTTAAATTTTTCTGTTTCTATAGTTGAAGTAGAATTTAATTCCATCATATTTTGGTACTTTTTTCATACCTGACCAATCACTCTTCACAATGACAATATTGCACTAATGAAGAAGTATTTATATATAATAAGGGGGAGGTAATTTCTAGCAATCTAAAGCTTTTTGTTGTATTTTTTCCAGTTGTTTAGGAACAAATTCTGTTAATCTCTTCTATATGAGATCCTGAGTAGTAAGGTGAAAAAGGTTTGGCTGATAGCACCAGTTTTCCATCACTTGTCATAATTCACAGGGTATATCTATCATCGGCAATACATCTAGAAGCACTATCATACTTGAACCTAAATGCCCAAATAAGAGCTAATAAAACAGTTATTCCTATTGCTAGAATCTGAGCCAACATCGAAACACTAAGAGCAGGAGAAAAGATTTCTGCTAAATCTGAGGACACAGGTTGCAAACAGAAAAAAGCCTGAAATTCTAACCAAAATCTCTTCATTTTAATGGATGGGGGTGGAGAAAACTACAGCTGGTGGGAAGAACAGGAAGAAACTTCTGTGTCCATCATTTCCCAAGTAACACACCTGCAAGCTGCCCACTTAGAATTAATGCCAAGGTACAGCACCCTGAAGGTGTTTACAAATGACCCAGACTCTTTCCTGTTGCTTCCCCCAGAGCAGATCAAGCAGTGAGTGATTTATTCTGAGCCAAACTGGCAACAGCTTCTAGCATTTAATTACCATGGTGTGTTTGAGGCTTGGAGAGTTTTATCTGACATAACTCAAAAGGATTCATTGATTAAGAAACTTAGGTCACTACATTTCCTGCTGCAGTTTTTACTTGTATTGCTAACTTGTAATAGCAACTATGACAGACAAAAAAAAATCTAACACAGAAGAGGTTAAACTTAGGAATCAGGGCTGAAACTTAAACTGGGCTTAAACTACGAATAGACAAAAGTATCACTGGATTTTCCCTGTACAAAGACCTGAAAAAGTTTTATCACAGATGTATCTGCAGTTTTGTGTAAACTATTAATGTACTACAGCAACACTAATTTGGTATTCACAGATAGTAAAAGCACAGGTTTTACACGTTTTGCCAACTCTTCATTGTTATTCCCATGTCTAAAATGACACAGGCAGAAACTCCTAACAAGACCTCATGTTCTTATCTGTAGCCTGTAGGCTTTCCTCCCACTGATATGTGATTTGTTTCCTCACTCACATATCCCATGGGGATCTTATACTCACATATATGCATACTGAGATAAAGGAGAACTGATATGTCAATATAAACACAACTAGCAGACCTTAACTCAAATATTGCCAGCAGCACTGAACCTTGAGAAACTTCCAATAGACTAATGTGTCAAAGACCTTGTTCAATGTGGTAACAGCACCAACAAAATGGTATTGAAGAGTTTCACGTGAAAATCTTTCCCTCTGCTTCCAGCTTTGGTCACATTTCTGATTTTCCCACTCTTGTTGTTTTTTCTCTACTTTTTCATGCTAACTTTTATGTCTAATTTAGTAAAGACCCTGCAGTTGTGAAATACATTCTTGGCTCCCCCAGAACTTTTCAATTATTAACCATTTATTAAAAAAATAAATTAGACCCAGGACATTTTAAGTTAAATGATGAAAACTTTGGTAAGAACACTGATGGTACCTTGGCACTCTTAAAGATTATGACAATTTTCAGCAATCATTAAAATGCTTCTCTCTAACATCATTCGAGGAGTTACACGGCTGTCTGTACTCCAGCTCTAAGCCTCTGTGAGAAATCTACATAAGAGCTCTGAAAAATAAAGTCAAAGGAGTACAGGGAAATCTAAAGTTTTTCAGTAATCTCGAGTGAAATATACATGTGTACCAAAATATTCTACTTAACAAGGTATAACACAAACCTGACTTACCAAAGAATTTTTTCTGTACACACATGAACAAGGTTTTCATGTATGAAACCATCAAACAAATAAATCTTGACTCTCAAAGCTGTTTGTGGGCACAACCCTTTTTCTTCATCCTCGTCATCATCATCAGTAGAATCTGCATAGGACTCAATGGTGTTGTATATGAAAGAGTACAGCTTGATATCTGGTCCTGAAGTAGAACAGTTTCTGCATTGTTCATTGTAGTATCTCAGCAACAGCCTATAAATGTCCCCTTCAAAAATCAAAAAGAAATCATTAAGCATCATGTAAGAACATGCCATATGAGCAAAGTATGATTGCAAAGGAAGGCTAGAAATGCACATGCACACTGAGATAGTATGCATACTCCAAATGAAGCAGTGACAGTGGAGGCAAACCACTGTGTAATGGGAATGTTGGCAGGTTATTCAGAACATAGGATAGGCTCCCTCAGCTTCCTGCACAAGCTATCCTAACAGTAGGCTTGCATAGACATTACTTACAAATGCATTGCCAATTACCCAGCTTTGTGCTTCTGGCCCAGAAATTAAAAGACACAGAACAATTACAGTAGGACAATGGATACACTGCTTTTCTAGTATTGCAACTGGATAACATGTCACACCACATCTAGCAGCATCAAGACCAGATCAAGACCAGAACCACTGGAAGACAAATTTATATCAAGAATACCAAAGCAGCTTTTCCCTTTTCAAAGCATTACTGAGTTACATCAAAACCTTTTGCACATGTATCTGTTTTTTTCAAATTCTACAGCATGACTCCTAAGTGAATCACAAAAGCATTTAGAAGTCTTCTAACTGATTAGCACTGTGCAGTAGATCCCGAATCAGAAATTCCCCATTCTGAAAACAGGTACAAATAAACCAAGAGCCATTTCCTTGTGTTCAGGACCTAGTGATGACAGTTTGTATTGGTGAATTTCTAATTAAAGAGATGGTTATGTCTCTTTAGTGCACAAAGATTTCTTTTTGCTCACCAATAGTTTGGCCCTTCTCACAGAGAAAAGTATGCATGCTGTAAATGTCCCGCATCAGCTCCACATCTCCAAAGGTAAAATAAACAATATCACGTCCAGCCTCAGCAGCTGCCAATATCTGAATTAAGGCTGAAACAATGAAAAAGGATTACACATAAATACACGATAAAACAATTTGCTGAAGAAAAAAAACCAGCTTAAGTTTACAGCAAGCAACCACAGCATCCATTTCCATGTGGATACTGCAAAGCAGAACAAACAGGTAGGTAAGTATTACTTCAATTTTTTTAATAAAGTAAAGAACGCTGGGCATTGCAGGTCAAAAGTGTAGAAGCACTCTGCTAGAGCTGTTAGTGACATCCACCCTTACTTCCAGATAAACAATGTGCTCAAAACTGACAGGAGTTTATTTTGGTCCATGTCTGACTCCAAGCAGCATGCAGCCATTAATTAGCCAATAAACGCCTGTGGCAGCAGAAGGCAACAGAGCAGCACCTTCCGTCCTGGTTTGAGCTGCCCATACAGCCACAGACAGTGGGGTAAAAAGCATCCATGAGCACTTGGCAATTTCCATTCTGTGCCACCTGTAAGAAGGAATGGAGCCAATCCTTTCACTAGGTAAGCTATGGAAAGTGAGAGCTGACCCAACTTTTAGCTCCAAGAGAAGAGGTTCTGCAGCCTCTTCCTGCACAATTTAAGGTGTCCATAATACCTACAGTAGAAGTATGCAGTGTGGAATACGATGGCTTATTCTGATCTGTGAGGGGTGATGTCAGCAATGCAGTTCATGTTATTTAACTTCCAGCTATCTGTCAAACTCATTGGTTCAAGATGCATCCCAAGTTCTGCCAACAGCTAACATTACAATATACACAGACTTTGTTCCTCTATATTCAAAAGAAAGAAAAATGTTTCCTATCTTGGAAACAGTTTTTTGAAGATTCACCTTGAGAAATCATCTGGACTATTAATCAATAGTGCTGCTGAGCCGAGCTAATGACCCATTGCAATTGGAGAAAGTAGCTCTGGTCCACTTCTCACCCAGCTTCTGACTTCTCTGCAGCTCTCTGGTGCAACTGATGTTCACCAGACATTGTGCCAGTTCCATTCACCAAACTGGCAGAAAAGTTATAGATGAAGAATAAAAGCTAATTGTTTGCTGCTGGAACAGCAGCTGAATTGGCAGAGTGAAGGGCTTGCTAAGAGCCAGAGCTGAGGCAAGGGAGGGCATCAGACCACAGAGCCAGGAACAATGAAGGGGGAGAAGAAACTATGAGGGGAAGAAGAAAACCAGGATCCTTTTAGGCAGCACCAAACTTAGAAGAGTGCAGCTTTCTCACCAGCCAGCACTACCAAGCTGGAGTGCCACAGAGGTGTCTAGTCTATCACAGGTTCATTTCAGGGAACTGCAACAGTCCAAATAATAGACCCCAGCAACTATTTCATCTGCTGCAGCCTTGCTTCAGAGCCTGTTGGTGCAGCTCTGATATTAATTTTTCTTTTTTCTACCCAGTAAGTAGAGTTAATTAAAATGTGATTAATATTGTCTTTGTAAAGATTAATTTTAAATAAAACAGCGTACATAGAGCATTACCACCAGCTAGTGGAAGCTAAATAGAAAGCTGTTCAGAGCTCAGCTCAATAATCTTGCACATTTTTAAACAGAGACCTATTAAAACACTGCATTCCTTAATCAAAAAAACCCCACCACTTGTAAACCCATAGCCAAAATTATAAATTACATGATTCACATATGAAATTAATCTCAATCTGGGAATGATATTTTAATTAAACTACTGAACCAGCTGTGGATTTAGTAAAGCTTCAGTAGTTCAGCTTTTAAAGAGTCTAATTAACTAGCTTGCATAGGGGAACAGAACCTAATGAATCTTATTATTCATTCCAAACAAACAATGCAGTTTCACTTTAAAATATATTAAAAATATCCTACTGTTTATTTTGAATTGCTACAGATCTTACAAAACAAGGATCAAAATTTCTGTCAAGAATCAGACTTCACAATCTCCTGGACATGAATGATACACAATATTGGTATACCATGGTACTGATACAGAAAGAAGTATCAGAGCAACAGAGCCTGTGGTATCAGGGTCTGGAGGGATCTGAGCTCTCTTGCCCCTTGCACCCAGCTGATGTAATCCCACTTAACTTCTGGACTTGCAGCTGAAGCAATGGCTGTACTGACATCCCTTCTACATTACAAAACCATACATGGGATACTACAGTTCAAATACAAGATCTTACACAAATTGAAGTATTTACTAAATCTTCCTAATATAAATCAAGTATGCTCAGATCCTACAGTAAATACTAGTTGTGATATTGATAAGATATGCATCTGACAGCCTATTTTATCTAATGCAAATCAAAAAACAACTGCCATGAACTCATTGAGCATTGAGAAAAAAAATATGTACTTTATGAATTTCATTCTTAATGAAATTAAGCTGATAGCCTGATGACTGTCTCACTGTACCTACCTAAAGCTGTTCTGAAAAGCACATTTTAAGTACTCTCCAAATGCTTGGAAACAACAAAAAAATGTAAATTTTTATTTAGGATTTTATGAACCAAGATATGAATTTATATGTCAGGATCTATCACTTCTTGAATTGATGGAAAAGGTCTTAAATGAATGTAGGCATGTGATATCTGCTGCATTATAAATACTCTAATTAAATATAAAAGAACATGAGAAGTCAGGAAAGAAAGCAGCATGACTGAGTGACTGGCATACAGCAATGTATTAAGCAGTAAAACTAAACATCCATTGCCAGCAAATTTGTGAAGCCTTGCAAATTACCAGGTACTTTAAGCAGCTTTGCAGAGATATGAATTTCAGGCAGAATCTAAAAAGACTGCTCCAGAAAGGTCAACTGATTTACATGACTGACAGCTGCAATGAATATGTTCTTCTGTAAACTAAAGCTGCATGTTTGTTTTGGAAGGTTTCAGTGCTACAAGTCCTTGCAAACTCTTGCATTTCACCATCACAAGCTTGCCCCAATCTTTAAACTGAAAACAGCATAAAAGTTTAAAGCACAAAGAATAGAGTAGAACCCTCTTTTATTGTTTAAGGCACATTACTCGTGGCCTAAAGATCAGCACTAATGAACCAATTCTATAGAATGCCATTTCTTGGTAAAAATGTATTCACTAGAATGAAAGCAAAAAATGTACTTGGACAAAAACATATGGCCCAGGATCAAAATGTAAGTTATTTCATTAATTTGAGTATTAACTAATTGTTATGATTTACCTTTTAATCGGGAGTCCCCTCCAAAGGCACCACATCCCCAGTTTCCTGTGGCTATTGCAGAGAGATGTTGAGGTGGAACGCTGGGACGAGAGAAGCCACAGTAGGCCTGCATGTACACAAGAGTCAGAGACAGATTTGAGAGGCAACCTGGTGCCATACTTTCAAACAATAAAATGATAACAAAAGTCAGTATTGTCTTCTAGCAATACCAAATTCAAACTACTTCAATATGCCATTAGTCTTCCTTCAAATTCAACATCAATAACAAAAAAATTTAGGGCAGGAAGACTTTTGCCTTATTTGGACCCAAGTTAAAAATTAAAATACAGGTCCTGAGTCCCAGGCATTTCCTCACAGCTACAGGAAACTTTTCAGGACAGCCTGAACAGAAAATTAACTCAAGACTTAAAATTTTCTTTATATACCAATCAGTCCTTATAAAAAAACATCAGCAAAGCCAACACACCTTATAAACATTGCAGTGACCTACCGTAACTTATTTTAAAAACCCAAACCAAATCAATACACTGAAAATTGTAGGCAGATCATAAATTTACTGATGTAGGTAATTAGAATTTTGTACTACGATATCAGTTTTTAGTACTAATTTCATTACCAACCATGAAGAAACAAGCTGATGGATGTTACTCTAGTCAAGATGCTAAGGTTTCACAACTAATTTAAATTAGTCCTTCAGCACTGTACATCATTTCAAGTGGGTGTATTCCCTTTCCAGCTGAGAATTAGGGTGGTGTGTTCTTATGTTTAAATTTATTTAAAATACATTCTATAATACGCTATACCCTCCTGTACTGCAGAAAGCAGGAGGCTTTAACAACAGTAGCATTGAACTCTTATATTCAACACTCACTGCATCTGTAAATGTAGAATCACACTAAGAAGACTCATCAGCATGTTTTGATCCCAAAAATTGGCACACTAGCAGAGTATATCTGAATTAGCATTCTTGTACTTCACTGCCCAGTAAAAACAGCACTGCCACTTCTAGAATAGTACACACACCTCTCACCACCTATGCCTTATGCTGGGAATGCAAGGCCCTAATTCTGGCCCATTAACCTTCCTATTAACTTAGGAGAATCTGCTTGGTGAACTGGAGACTGATTCCACACACAGCATGTCACCAGATAAAATTTGTGCACGGGATAACTGCAAAAGCCTTGAAAACATGGCACAGGTTGAAACCATAAGGTTTCATAACCATAAACAGCTCACTGATGGCAATTACTAGTCCCTGTAAAAGTACAGCCTTAGAAGCTGGGAAAAGATTGCTTTGGCTTCAACAAAAGAACAGCAGCAAAACAAGAAGAAAAACAAGTGACAGGAAAACCTTGGCTATGCAGATGATAAAGCACCTGACACAGCTTGGGAATATAACCCAATGTTCCCAAACATTATGTAGCATGTAATTCAGGGCAGAGACCAAGAGCTGGGAAACATCTCAAATATCTTACTTAAGGACAAGATCCCAAAGACCAATGGCAGAGGAAAAAAAAATATGTCCACCACAGTTCCAGCTTCCCAAAGAGCTCTTCAGCCTGGCAACTTTGATGTGTGAGATTATCAAGGACCACAGTCACTGCAAAGTGCAGTTTTGTACGCACACAGCTGACTTAGGGCAGGGTCAAGGACTGACAACTTTGAATATTTAATGATAATGATCAATAATGTGCAAGAATTATTAGTAGGAAGTGTGTTAGTTTTGAACATCAGCCCAGAAGTTTTGTTTCAAGGATTAAAACTAGCCTGCATTGTCATTTTTGAAGGTTGTAAGCTCTGACTGGCATGTACACACACATATGTAGTTATAACAGCCCTTACAGCTATTGCAAAAATAAAGAGGATTTATGAACAGCTGGATCTGATCTCAAGAAGACATCAGTATAGAAAAAAGTAAACTCCCAGGCAATATGTCAATATCTCAAAAGAAAAGAAGAAAAGTGGAAGAAAAACAAGTGGCACCATATTTATGAACTGCCCCATGTAAAAACATGAGGCACCTCCTTTTCCACCTTGACTGCACAGCTGAGTAGGATTCAACAGCACAAATCATATGGAAAGGACTTATAATTTAGAATTATAGAATAGCTTGAGGTGACAGGGACCTTAAAGAGTACCTCATTCCAAACTGCCTGCCATGAGCTGGGATGCAATTCACTAGCTCAGGCTGTTCAGGGCCCCATCCAACCTGGGAACACTAGCAGGGATGGGGCATCCACAGCTTCCCTTGGCAACCTGTTCCAGTGCCTCATCACCCTCACAGTAAGGAATTTCTTCCTAATACCTAATTTAAACCTTTCCTCTGTCAGTTTAAAACCAGTGCTCTTTGTACTGTCACTATCTGCCCATATTAAAAGTCCCTCTCCTTTGTTTTTTAAAGCTCCTTTAGGTACTGAATGGATAAAATAAGGTCTCTCTGAAGCCTTCTCTTCTCCATGATGAGCAACCCCAACTTGCAGCCCATCATTTGGAAGCAGGACAGGGAAGAGTTAACAAAATGTATATCCAAGTTTCATTTACATCTTTGAAAGTTACATAAAATACACCTTTGAATAACACATCAAAGGACAAGAAATATATTTGACAATCTTTTGCTTTACCGTTGGACAGCAAAACCCTGTCGTGAGACACAACTAAGTGAGAACTAACTTAGAACAAGACAAAAATATAAAAATATTTGAAAAGGCTCTATAAACATTAAACTGCAGGTTGTTGTAAGAAGTTACTGGCCTTGTTGAGCTCTCTTCTAATTTTCTCTGGACCAAACTGATCAAGGAAACGTCTGAAGTGAAATGCATCTATAGCAACAATTTCAGTGTAGCGTCGTTGCCATTCATCCCTAAAATTGGAGGGGGGAGAAAAGCAGATGACATTAGTTGTTTAATATCAGCCATATAAACCCAATTCAAAACGAGCAATTCCCTTCAGAGCTTCTCTGCTCTTCTTCTCTGCTGAAAAGAAGCTGAAAAGTTGAACTGATAACAGACAATGGAATACTTTGTGGGTTAGGAACAAAAGCAGAATCAGAAATGAGACATGCATCCCCATAAATTTAGAAATAACTCTGGCTAGACTTTGGGCATGAAAGTGAAACAAATCTAATTATACAGCACTATTTATCAAGTATGTAAGAACACTGCAAGGTCAATGTTTCTCTGTCTTCTTCCAACATTTAAACAAGAGTACACTGTGTATGTTTCTATACCAAATGAGTAATTTTGTGTATACACTCTAATGACATTGCTGGAGAAATAAATTCAAGAGCTCAGAGCTTTCTACTCAGATTCATGGTATTGATTCTTATTTTGCAACACATCAGCTGCACTGTGGCATCTGAGGTATTGCTGTCAAACTTCTTGTGACATTGCAAACCATAGTTCAGTCAGTATCTTAACAAAAATGTGCATTAAATACTTGTATCTCTAAACTGTAAAAGATATTGGTCTAAGAACTGACACAAGGGCAGGTACCACTTATCAGCATTAGTATGGTATTACCAACATGATATAAACTTTCTTAGCTTGTTGGTTCTACTGAAGAGAGCAACATCAAGCAAATGTTAAGGAATACTTAGAAGTACCAAGTTTTCAAATTACTAACATTTATTTCTTCCTTCACTTAAAATACTTAGGTGGAACTTTACCTAGGGGTCTTATCTTCATGGCTCCTTGCCCAGCGGTAAGTCTCTGCATAGCCTGTGTACTCACTGTACTGCTCAGTACCTGAAACAAATGATTTTCCAGATTACATATAAAATATGTACATATTTTTTTCACTTGGCAAATCTTTGATAGGAATCACTGCTTCTCCAAATGAACACACAGCTCTCAGAAGCAATGGGAAACAGAATTTCTATTTGCACCATGAATACAAGATTTCCTTGTAAAGCTCCCTTTCCACAGGTGATGAGCAGCACCCACCACAGAACATTACGAGTGCAGATCTATGTATGCTGCCCATTATATAATGAGAAGTGGTCAGCACCAACAAGCTACCTCTGTAAAAGCACAAAGACCCAAAAAACCACAGTCTGGAACATATTTGGCTGTTCTTGAAAAGGTCCAACAGGGTGTCTTGGCAGGTAATAAAGGCTGTCAGAAAGCAGCTCCTTAAGGCCACTAAAAAAAGTAATTTTAGCTACTGTGCTCTGCTAAAGAGTGTAACTGAGAACAAGGATCACAACCTTTCTAAAAGGCTGCCTTTCACCTCATTTTATAGAGCTTCAGGACCTTGCCTCAAAGGTTGCATTGCACAAGTGCTTCAGAGAAATACCCCTGAAGTAACACAAAATCACACCTTTTCCCCCTGTTCTGAGCTCACAACAGCTGAGTTTCAGAAGAAATCACAGAACAGTCTGGGTTGGAAGGGGTTGGCACAATTATAAACAGTAAGAGTAAGAAGAGAACTGTTAAGCAACCTCTTAATTTGTGCCACCAGCTATGCCTTTAAATAGAATGGGGAAAAACAGGTTTTAAAGAAATGCAAGCTGACAGCATAAAGCATCTGATTACTAAGACAAGAATACTGCCTAAGTATTGCACACTCAGCAATACCCTGAGAACACAAATGTTGACATTTAATCTAAGTTTTCCCATCCCTAAATAAAAATGCAGTTGAACAATCAAAAACATAAAACTATTAACTTTAAACCTCACTGACAAGGAAATTTGAATGTTTATGTCCAGTAGTCTCAAGCATAGGAAACAAGCAGTTAAAAACTGTTTAGGATGATGCATATATGTCAAGATATTTTCCCCATTTGCCTAAACTGATTTTAACTGACAAGACTTATCAATGCTCATTTAACTCATCTACCCTGTTACCCATTATTTATTTAGTCTAGAAGATTAATAATTCTGAGGGCACATAAATCTCACTCAAGGCTATTTTGAAAAGTTGCTACGCAAAATGCAAAATGAGTGGGATAGCACGAGATTCCTCACTGAGTTCACTTCCTGATAAATCATCTGAAAAATGTGGATAAGAAGATGTGCCTATGTATTCACACACATCCATGCTCTTGAACAAAGGACAACCACAAGCAGCTTCCATATTCAGAAATCAGTCTTCTAATTGAATTGCAGGCTATCAGCCTACACTAAGACTTTTCCTGACATGAGTAAAATTTAGTTCTCTTGATATGCTTGGTAAAATTGTTGAGCACAGAGCAAGAAAAGTCAGATAAGGAAAGTATGTGACTCTTCTGAGAACTCTTTTTAGGGGACAACCTAGCAAAACTTCCAGCTTGAAAAAGGAAGCATTTCCTTTGGTGTCTAAGATGGTGAAAGAGAACTCTAGGTCATCAAGATATAGATAAAGGATAGATTAAATGATAAAGTATTAGGCTGGCTTTTTCAAGGTTCATTGTTTTCGTTAATTTTTATGGAAGTGTAGTGCCTGACGACAAAAGCACCAGGAAACAAACAAACAAGCAAATACATACATTTTTTCTATAAAAAAAAAATCAATACTGGAGAAACTCAAGGAAATCACAGACTCTAAAGTCATGTCCCAGAAACCTGAAGTTAATGAAAATCAATGACTTTTCATAAGTGAAGCTCTGGAAATTTGTCAGACAAAAATGATTATTCGACTGGCAACACTTCTGCCTCTGAACTACTGGGATACAAACTTCTGTTACTGGAAGAACAGAAGCAGTATGGGATAAGCTGCATACATTAATGCTTCTGGTTAACTTTTCTTCCTACTAAAGAAAATAGAGGTGAAAAAAGGCAAACCACAAATAAAGTTCCACCAGAACTGAAAAGCAATCTACAAAACTAGAAAACAAATCTAGAAAAGCCTACCTAAAATCAAAAGAACATATGTACAAGAACCATTCAAAAATTCATCCTCTGTGAGACTTGTAAAAGTTACAGCATCAGACAAAAAGAAAACTTGCCAAGTGTTGGTGTTTATGGGACCTCACCAATTTAGACAGGTTTGCAATTATTACTAAATATAAACATACCTTTCTCAGACTCCATAGTCTAGCTTTACATTTGCATATGATCTGTACAGCACTATAACATTTCCAGAGATTGGGAAAAATTCCGCTATAGTGTTCCTCTGGTATTTCTAAAAAAGCTAGAAATTATACTCCTGAAAAGGCAGGACCACTAGCACTAAATAAAAAGTAGATGTGAAAATTGCAAGAGTTTAGTTTTGTATTCATTGACATAAAGGCACTTTTAGTGCCATAAGTGAGAGGAAGGTGCTTCTTTCCCTTTCAATCAGTTCTTCCAATCCTTATCTTGTACCACCATTAGTCTTTGGCTCTCCCAACACTGGCACAATCAGCCTGCTAAGTCCAGCTGAAAACCAATTTTCCTCTCTGAATATATTTTCAGCCAAACCAATTATCTCATCTCTTTTGCTGCCTGGCTAATGTGGTCAGAAGTCTCCAAAACTGCCCTGCTAAAATGTAGTCCTGACTGGCCATTGGTAGATCTTTTTTTAAAGCAAACAAGGAACACAGCTTCTTCATCTGCTCTTAACACTGCCTGAGGATGTGTGAGCTCAAACAGGGGGGAAAAAAGAAAGAAAGAAAAAAATCTGAATGAAAACCACTCACACTTAGTCACAGCTCTACCAGAAATGCAGCTGTGGGAATCTCTGGTGTTGCTGCTGACATTTCTGTAGGTAAATGTCTGTGTTGAAGAACTTGACTGTTTGCATGACCAGTTTCATAGTCATTACAGCAGTGATCTTAACCAGATACTGTGAAATCACAACAAATTTAATTTATCTCCCAATTTCTTGGGCTCCTCTACAAATTTAAGCTACAGTTATATCCATTAGGCTGCCGACTCAAGATGCATCACACAGAATGTAATTTATCAAGAGGATCGTGACACAGAGGAGACTTGGCTAAGAAACAAGGTGGAAAAGCTCCAAGGATTAAATAAAATTGATGGAATGGATATTTCCATTAGAGAAGAACTCCATATCCCAAATACTAATTGCAAAACACTGAAACATAAAATATCAAGAAAGACAAAATATTGCTGCAGTGAAAAAACATTTCCACCTTTACTTGTCCATGCCAAATCACCTTTTTTGTTTGCAGGGAAATGGAAGAAGGTATTTCAAAACACTAATTTAGTGTTTCTCCTAATCAGTTATTACCCAGATTGAAAGCTGTGCTCTGTTTTTACCCTTCCCAAAAAAGTCTCTCCCAGAGGACAGTGCTTAAAATATGTTAATATAGTATCATATAAAAACATGGAATAGAAGTCTCTGATAGCCAAGAACCCTTTTTCTGATTAATTTTTTGAAAATGTAATCACAAAAGGCAATTTATCAAAAACTTTTCACAGAAAAGGTATTAATTCTGGCAGAGTGGAAAAACAAAATAAAACACTGTCTTAAAAAGATTACCAAGCATAAGACTGGAAGCAAAAGGTGCTCTGCCCAGTACAATCAATAACTTAGGACAAAATAAGACCTGCAAGATTTGAGCTCAAATTTCTACTGGGTATGCATGTAAGAGAAAGAATTGCTATTGATGGATTTTTCCACGAAATGTGTTCTAATACCTACAGAAACTCTTGACTTTTAAGACAGCTCAGGTAGCTAAACCAAACATTTCTGCTATAGCAGATTGAAAAATATAAATAATCTATTATACTATTTACCCAGATGACCTCTCTGATCATATATATTTTTTTTATAGTTGCTCTTTAGTGCAAATAAAGTAGTATTATAGTATCATTTTATTTCTTCGGTCATGAAAAATGCTCATTCATGCACAGAACTGAGACTTGCAGCACGACCTTGGCTGCTCCAGTTCTTAGCAGTGACATTTGGTTTTTCATGCTGTTTTAATCCAATGGATAATAAAAGAATCCAAGTTCTATGACAGAGTGGGAAGCAAAAGAAAAAGCCCTTTCAGCTAAGCTCTGGACAGACAGGAGGTCTCCACACACAACCCCTCAGCGACATACTGAAGAAGCAGGTTGTTTTTGATGTAATTAGGAACCCATAATTAACTTACAAGTAACACAGATGTGGAACTAACAAGACCAGAGACAGTTCCTAGCTTTCTACCCTTTTCTAATGGATGCAGATTTGCTACTCTTCCATCTCCTCCCCTTTTAGGTAATCAGAAGGTAGCTCCTCTTCCTAAGAGTGTTCAATCACGCTGATGACATCAAATGTTATGAATTCAGGAAAGGAAAAAAAATCCCACATCACTGAATATAAGAGAAGCAATATCAGCTAATAGCTGGAAATTGTGGGTGTTACCTACATTGCCCATCAGCATTCTTTAGCTAAAGACACAAATTCCTCAAACACATTTACAGAGGATAAAGTAAGTTCTTCTGCTTGCTGTCACTTCTCTTTTCTCCTTTCACAAATTAACTATGGAACAGTGTCCCTTGTGGTGTTAGGTGGGATGAAGCAGGAGGCTCATTGTCAAATGAGTGTCAACTTTTTTTTCCCTTTTTTTTTAATCCTTACAGCATTTAACCATACTAAACTTCAACTTAAAATGTATTTTGTATATATAAAACCAGAATTCGATGTGAAACATTTTCTGCAAAGACTAACCTGTGATGATAAGACATTCATTGTGATCCAAGACTTCAGTGATGAGCCTTGATACAATCAGTTCTGGATTGATTAAAAACCGAATTTCTTCTTGTACTAGTCCTGCCCCAGTCACACCACCTCCAACAAAACGGTTTGCAAAATCAACCTACCAAAAATACATTCAGGAGGATTATGATAGGATAAGAAAAAAAAAATAAAAAAATCCTTTCATTACCAAATTAAATAAAATCCTGTACAAATTCCAATTATTTTGTTGAAATCTGCTGCTATCACTTAAAACTACAAGCAGAGAAACGGATTAACCTGATCATGTCTCTTTTTTTCCCTTCAACTTCTCAGAAAACTTATGACAAATGAGACATTACACAGCAAAAGAAATTTTGAATCTCAGATGGTCCAAATACAAGTTGTGTGGGTTTCCCTTGAAGAGGCATATATTTCAGAATAAAACACATTTCAGTAAATGTGAAAGATGAAAACAGCATTCTTTTCAGGGACATTGAAAAATTATTAGTTTGTCCTTTGGAAAGCATTCTCCCCCAAATGTCTACACTGAAGTATCTTTAGATTAGCACTGTCACTGTAACAGCTCTATACCAAAAAAACCCTCTAACAAATTCTTCTTGAAATGTACTGACAATATCTTACCAATTGTCCATGAAATGCATTTGAACAAGGCAAATCATTTTGACTCTAAAGGTTTCTGCTTGAAATAGAGAAGCTCTGGACTATTTTTTGCTGCAATAGTACGTATTTTGCCAATTACATTTTCATACAGACAACAGTTTTAAAAGGAGTTTAGTCAATAAAGTAATTACTATTCACTCAAATTAACTACCCATATAAAGTTATAATTTTAAAAGTTATTTCATCTTTTGAATGCTGTTAGCTTCTTACTGGTTTTTACTTAGGTAGCTGATGACAGCATAGGTACAGGAGGGGGACAGAAGTTGCTGGGATAACATGAACACCTGTGTAGATTACAAACTGACCCAGAAGGCAGTGTCCAAAGCTCACCAAGAGCCAGCCTCTACAGCAGCATGTGTTCCTTTAGTCTATCCTGGAAATACCAACACATTTCAGTTGTTTAGGATTTGCTAAACTTGACTATGATAAAAAGTTATATGAAAACCACTCAGATGTGCAGCGTGCCAGGGCCCCGAAGCACTGGAACTGTGCTGAGCAGCCTCCCCTGGGTCCCCGACCTTGTCCCGCACAAACACTCGCCCTGTCCTGGACCTCACCTGAGACACACCACATGTGGGCTCAGGTCCAGCCCTTTGTTCTGCTGATGCCCACGTGCTGACCAGACATCTCTCACTGTCCTTGCTGCCCTGACTCACCACCTTGCCTTTGTCTGATGGCCACCAGCCAGTCAGCAGGAACTGTGATCGTCACTGTCCCTGCCCAAGGCTGGGGTCACTGTGGACTCCTGCACTGTCCTGCCTTGGTCATCCTGCTCCCTGCTGGAGTGGCAGCTCTTCATCCGAGCAGAGACCTTTTGTTTGATAATACTTGAAACAGCCAAGAGGAAAACTATCACATCCTAGGCAATACTCCCTTATACAGAGTGCAACACTAGAAAAATGGTCTTTATCGAGCAGTTGCTGAGTTCTTCATAATTTCAGCACACATATGAGTGCTCGAGTTTCATAAATTTAAGAGACATTTTAAAGTCTGAGCAAAAATCGTTGCAGAAAAACGTCCTCCTCTTTCCTTCCTCCTCATTCAATGCATTACTTTGTCCCTGGCTAAAAAAGTTCTAATTTTTACTTTATTTTTTGTAGAAGAATTCTAGAAGGCATACCCATTTAAAAAAAAAAAAAAAAAAAAAAAAGCACGAAGTAAACAACTAATTTGAAAACTCAAACATGTTCCTTCCCATAGATATGGACATGACATCCTCCTTATGAATTTCTTTTGCTGACTGCCTCCCAGACTGAAACAGTGGTGCTGGCAGTAGCAAGAAAGTCTCCTGGAGCACTGACCTGGTCACTGTCTGGGGCACAAGAATAATATTTTTTAAATAAACTGAAAGTTTATTTTTTGACAAGTCATCACGATTACAGCCTGAATCTTTTGTCTTGTCAATCTTTGATCCTGGCTTGAACCAGAAGACCTGAAGCTGTCCAGGACTCGTGATTTTCTGTCAGCCCTTTCTGTAACAGGTACACATGCTACCTCGATGAGCTGGGAAACACTGACAGTACTAAGACTGCCCATGGAATTAATTTTGATGGGGTTTTTTATGCTGCACAACATCTTGTCATTTAAGTTAATTGAAGATAAACAAGTAACTTTGTTAAGCTGGCAGACCATGAAATTATGACAAAAACATGAAAGCCACACAAACTGTTATATGCACTTACCTGTAGCATACCTTGTCCATTGCTTTCAATGGTGCCTTCATAGGTGACATGCAATCTAGATAGTTTTTTCTGAGATCTACCATTGAGGAAAAATATTGTACAGAAAGGATCATTTCAGAAACCCCATAAAAACACATTCATTTTAAAGCAAAATTCACTCAAACCCAAATTGCTTACACACCTTAAACATAAGGTGGTTTAAAAAAAACCAACAAAAAACCTGACAGATTAAAGAAAACATGTTTGCCTTGCAGAAACAAGGTGGGAAAGTTTAACAGTCATTTGTTCAGTTTCTTCACCTTTTACCATAAAACTCCAAAACTGAAGTTTTTCTTGCTCCCCAGCAATGAAGCTGCAATGTTTGTGCTCATGCTGGTCATCACCCATACTTCATTATGTTTCCTGTCATTTCTTAAATCAAGCCATCCCTCTCTTTTTTCCCCCCACTCAAGCAATGCCACCAAGGATTTGCTACTGTTTTAAAACTTCAGTAACGACTTGCTTGCTTTACAGACAAACATATGGGAAAACTCTGGACACAAACTACTTGTGGCAATTCACCCTCTGTATTTCTTTCTGCAACAGTTCATAGCAAAGATTGTTTTCAGTAGTACTTCTAGACATGAATCAATTCCAAATGAATGACATTCAGTTATTGAGGACTTAAGATATGTCTTGCATTTGAAAGGGTGTTTGACTTACCTCTCCCAGTCTGGAAACTCCTGCAGACACTGCCTTGTAAACGTCACCAATCCTGTAGGTTCTACAGGCAAAGCAACCCCAAAGGAAAAAGTATTGAGTGTGGGAGCTTAGCCCTTAGATTATCTTCACTGGCAAGCTTTGAAAACTACAAACACCACTCTTGGTAGATACCAAGAGCTTAACTTTTTTCAAGAGTGACTCTGATTTTTCCCCTTACAGCCCATGCTCTAAATGAAGACAAGTAACATGAAGACCAAAATATTACTTCTCTTCCCACTTTGCATTTTGAGTATTTTAGTTTTTCCAGATCTAAGAAAAACTATTTCTTACGTGATTTTCACTTTAACAACACTAAATAGTACTAGAAAGACCCAGTATTTGAAGTAAAATGTGCTTCTTTAGAGAAATAAAGATTGTAAACCTTTAAAATCAACTGCTCAGTGTGAACAGACAATCTAGAGAGCATTCAACCTATGGAAGGAGGAAGCAGCAGCTTGTATTTCTAAGAAAGTTCAACTATGTCAATAAGCAAGCAGTGTTAGCAGATTCCAATTCAAGCAGTTTTTAACCCTGCCAGGATGCAAGTGAAATTCACTGTATTCCAACTGAGAAAAGACTCCCGCCCTCGAGGGAAAAAGAGGAGCTGTTGCTCATTGCATGAAGGATGCAGTATCATCTTTTCTCCTCATTTCACTCAAAAAAGTTCAGTTTTGCAACAGAAAGAAAATATAAACCTTTTATTAGGTGATATAATCTTAATAAAAACTTCAATTAAGACTTATTTCTCTGCTACAGGAAGTCTACTGTGATTTGTGAAAACATTGAGAACACTATGTAAAGCACAAATGCATCCTTCTAAAAAAGCCTTAATGGGTCCTACACTTTGCTTTAAATTTAGGTTAAAAAAGGGTTACTTTCTCTGAAGAAAAATACGTAACTTTCAAGTACAGTAACCAAGTGCTCTTTCACAAGGGAATTCTGGTATCAGTTGTGGTATTCTACAAATCAAGCATTCACCTTTTGAGCACAAATTCTTCAGTTTCCACTGTGTCCTTTTACAGAGAACACAATTATTATTAACAATAAAAAGAGTCACAAAATTATTATGGTAATTTATAGAGCTAAGATACTTCAGCCTTACTAATTCCTGGGGAAAAAAAAAAAAAAAAAAAAAAAAGGGGATATTTTAAAGTTACAATAGGAATTTTTAATTCAATAAAAGAGCATTCGAGAATATCATTAAATATTATGTAAAGTTATGTTAGGAAATCTAATATGGTAGCTTCATAAAGCATGTTCCCATCAGATTTCACATGCTCAGGGGCTCAGGAACAGCAGCCTAAATCTAGGACTTGGTTTGCACAAAAACATTATTACTCAAGTATTAGAAAAAGCTGGTACACTGTATCTCTTCTCAGTCCCACACAAGTTACTTTTTACCTCAGAGACTTAGTTCTAGATATTGCTTCAAGTCTGACAGCTGAAATTGGATACAGCTGCATTTATTTTGATGAAGATGGTCTGAACCAAGTAAGGGGCTTTTATATTTAATGGTTTAAATCTGTCTTTTAAAACAAACCCTTCTGAGAAAGTATGAAGTTAATAGTAAAATGCTGACATATAAATAAAAAGTTCTTAAAAAAACCTTTTGTAAGGGTATTGCTGCAGATCTGATGTATGCTACTACAGTATAATCTCTTTCTCCCAAAAATGCAATATATAGTAGTATATATGTATATACGATATTTATCACAAAAATAAATCTGTTTTTGAAAGCTTATGCAAATGTTCAAATCTCTGGTAATAACAGAAGATCTGACTATGCACTAAATTCTCTAAGAGCAGCAGATATCCCATGTCTTGCTATCATTTGTTTTATTTGAACTGGGCAAACTTAAAAACAGCTTTGCTTTGGAACCATAGAAGGGAAAAACATGAGATACCAATACAAGTAGGGGAAAAACCCTCACAATGACAAGCATTACAGTCAAAAGACTAAATATGCATTCTGCAGGAAAAGTGAAGCTTGACTCAAAACCTTTCAGCTTGTTATTTTAATGGCAGTAATGGTGCCAAGTTCCCTTTACATCCTCACTTTGATGTGGTGAGGCAAGTGGTTGCATATATTACTAGCATTATATACATACATATATTTATATCTACACATCTACACTGTGATATACATACACATGTTTAAATATATATATATATATATATCTCTACAGGGAGCTAAAAATATATCTCTGCATTTCACACTCACCCCATATATTCATACGTATATATTTATATATATTTATCAGAAAAAAAATAGAATACACTTTGGGCAAATAATTTGCATGCAAGAATCATAAATATGGTAAAAATACCATTAGTATGAACATCAGTGTATTTTGCAAGCTGTCTTTTGTTAAATATTTCTATCATGCCTGCGTAGCCATTTCTAAATTTAATGGGATTAAGTTTTTCATCTATCTGCTTTGCAGCTCAAAAAAAAGAATAAAGGATATACTTTTTTCTGTGACTCTTCTAAAATAGCAGAAAAGGGTCTTAAGTTTCTCAGGCTTTCTTGGTGACCTCCCTTCAAACAACCTGAAAAACAGGAAATAAAAGCAAACAATTAGATCTCAGGGATATAGTGCAGAGCAATTAGTGCTACTTACTAATTGCAATTTGATTTTTTGTAATTATTATGCACACATTTCATTAGCCTTGCATTTAAGTACTGTACTGTTGAAAGAACACTCTAGACAGCCCCTCTGTAATTCAAGATTTTAGGACTAATGAGTTTACTGACTTCCTGTATTTCTGATGAAGATGCCAAGTGAATGCTTCTCTCAGTTTTCTAATACCAAGAAATGTAATTTCAGTATGAACATTTTGGAAAGCTTCTAGTTTTATTTGCAACAAATTGAAACATTTAACAGGCCATTATGTGACCAAGGGGTGAAAACATACATGTTGAGTACTCCAATATGCAAATATCACCCTCCTTTCAGCTCAGGGAGTTGGTCAGAAGAATTAATGCAACCTTGTCGCTTTCAAGAGCTGCACTGCACCAGCAGCATTTCCAAAGGAAAGAACCTTCCCCCACAGAAATGGCTCCATCCACTGGGCTGTTACAGACATTTTAACAGTCATTTATAAAAAGCCTAAGCATTAAAAGGAAGGACCCTATTTTTAGTCACTAAGTGAATGTATTCTTTTAAGGTTAGCTGAAATACTTTTACTGCATCATCTATCTTCCAGCAACTTGAACACGCATTACTTCATTTCACTTCCAGCAGAGTGACAAGGCATTGTTATTGGCAACACATAATGGAATTTATCTGGAAGGAAGAACAGCAGTGACTTCAGAAATAATACCCTTTGAATAGGAAGTTTACTAAAAGATGTCTGATCCACTGAAAGCCCTGAGGATATAAGATTTCTTCCCAATAAACAGTCTAAGTAAAGCAATGACACAACATTATTCAGTTGTTTCTGTGTAGTGGAATGACAATCTGCCTTTAAACCACAATGCTGAGAGGTGAATTGAACTAGATTCAGCAAGGAAGTGAACTAGATTTTTTTCAGCATTTAAAAATCCTTAATATGTATACAGACTGAAGAGATCAATTGCACCTGAAATCTATACTAAGTCCAAGAAGTTAATTTTATTAGCACTTTATTCTTTGAGCAGTGAATCGGGGTTTTAGGAAGGTAAACTCAAGACTTTCACAGTATATTCTAAAATAGGCCTATATGCAAGCTCTATCAAGGCCTTAAGCTTGCACAGGTAAAAAGGAGTTTATAAAAGGAGTTAATGTGTGCAGGTGCTGCCTACATTATTCCCTTCCTCTTATCAAGAAGTCTCATTTAGTATGAAGCCTTTAAACTGGTTCATTTATCTGTCAGCCTGATCATGTCTTTACTAATTTTCTGCCTCTTCACATCAAAGTGACATCTTGCTTACGTTGCAAACTCTCAGGAGAGAGTTCTTCATGTAACAAAGGCAATATGTGATTCAGTATAAACAGCAGGCTGGGCAGGAAAGGTGCAGAACTATGCCTGAGGTAAGTCAGATCAAGCTAAAACCAGTCATATTTGTAAATGCAACAGGAAAAGCAAGTGATATTTACAGGATTCAAAAATGGACTGATCCTATCCCATTAATTTAAATGAGGACATCACCTGGCAAAGTTACAAACCTTTTAACCTTGAACCTTATTTCTGAAATAATCAGTTGGGCAAAATTATGAAAATTTTGTTTTTGAAGTAAATATTTTAAAGAATAAAGCTATATGAAGGCATCATTAAGATATTAAATAAAATTATTCTTCAAGTGCTGAGACACATATCCAACTAAAAATGCACCCAAAAATCTAAGTGGAAACCACATAATTTCCTGACAGAACCACCTAAGGCCAAAACCCATCAATTTCAATTAAAGAACTCATCCAAACAAAGTGCACTTTAAATCACATGCAAAGCACTGCAAGTCCACTTTCAGGTGAAGTAATTGAAATCTTACTGGCAACTGCATATGTCAGCTTTGTACAGGATGTTCCCACTGCCATGCAATAACTTCAATTTCTCAGCTACAGGAGCTGAGAAAGCCTCCAGGACTGATCACCAAATTCATCTCTGGCTCTCCAGCCAAGCCAGGGGAGTAGCAGTGTTAATCAAACAGAAGACTTCCATGGAGATACATTTAAGTATTCGAGGCCAGAGATTTTAAAACATAAGAAAGTAGATGTGTGAACTTTGTGTTTATGACATTGTAGAGTGTTAAAGTCAAAGTGGCTAAATGAAAAATCTTTCCTAGCAAATATTCAGACATTTTATTGTTCAGAAAAGAAATCCCATACATGAGACATAAAATACTAAAAATAGAACAAATATTGGGAAAATGTAAAACAACTGTCAGTAAGCACACAGTAAAGTTACAATGCAACAGTTCATACCATTTCAGCAATTATTACAAAAACACACACATATTTTTGCATGAGCATTTTCCTAAAAATTTTGGGGTGGAAAAAGAAGCATTAAAAAGTGCAATCAATATTCTGGCTTTTGCAGTCTTGACTGTCAACTCAAAATTGTCATATTTGCAACCAACATTTCCACCTTCTAAAGCTGGAGTCAAAAGCTCCAAAGAACCACTCCCAACTCCTTCCAGTGCTGAGGCAAGTGGACTTCGAACTTGCAAGGAACTTCAAAGGGTGCATTGAAAATAACACAAGAGAAAAAATATTTAAGAACATTAAGAGCTTCACAAAAGTGACCTTGGCTTGCATGGAGTTTACTGGGGAGAATTTGAACCAGCTTAAGTAAACAGTTCCCAAATACATTGTTTCTAATTAAGGCAAAATTAAAATACAGTATTTACCTGTAAAATTTAATTTCCAAGGAGTTAAATTGCTCCCCTGATGGTTACTCTAAGAACTGGCTCCAGCAGGAGCCATTACAGTCATGTGATTTAATCTCCCAGTTCAATAACCTTATAATGATATTTCCATACCCAGGCTGGGCTTCCTTTGAATGTTTCTTTTCAAAGAGAATAATCATGTCTTTACATTGAAGTTGGAACCTATTGTAAGACCCAGAAAGGTGTATGCTCTGTAACAATATGCAAAAGTTTTCAGTATGGATCATGCTTCAAAGAATAACTCCCATTCATAAATCCATGGCATTCCATGGCCACTCTTTGCAGAAGTGTGGATACACAGTTTTGTACTTGTGATCCCTACAATTAACCATGTGTACTGTTTCCTCCACTACCTCACAGGCACTAAAAACTTTCTTTACTACTGGACTTGTGTTGTTTCTCATATTTTAGTATCATCTCACTAAAGATAATGGAACATCTGAACAAGTACAAAATATTTTACTAAAACCTGATCTTCTCCTACAAATAAAAGTCAAAGAAGGACTTAAACAGAAGTCATATGGATAGATTAATTTCACCCAGTAAAGGGACTGAACAGGTGGAAGGATGGAAAGTTAATGCAGAAATGAAAATATTGGATAGATATTTCCTTCCACTTCAAGAAGACAGCTAATCACTAAACAGTTTTAATCTAAGGTATTGGATGACAAAACACTTGGAAACGAGAATAAACCAAATACCTTGCTTTTTCTATCTTGCTGCATCTCAAGCCTATGCTTACCTGATGTATATATACATGTAGGGGTAGAAATAATATGCTTAAGTATGTTATTATCAAACTTACATTGCCCTCCATATGACTGAGGGGTATTTTGGTTAAGTGGCTGAGCATCCTCAGTGGGAACCACTGAAATTTCAGGCTGATACACAGCACCCTAAAGGAAAAACTAATATAGTGCTGAATGGTCCAATAACCTCATCATTTAGGACTGCATTAGCTGCACGGGGGAGCACATAAGCATCTCTTCCATCTTTCTCCCAACTTCCTGGAATAAAAAAGTGAAATTCTAGAAATAAAAAAAATATAAAACTCTTTTTTTCAAAACCAGTATCATATTTCTAATTAAGTATTTTTTGAGCTTTGACTTCCAATACTAAGCACAGCTTATCAAAACAGTTTCAAAAGGACTCTCAGTATGATTTCACTTTTTTTTATTCAATTGTGCTCAAGGGAACCTTAGTCACATCCACATTTACGGACTGCCTATAGATATTAGTGTATTGAAGGTCAAGCAAAGCTGTGTGCATTAATGTGCACAGAGAGAGAGGAGGCCACCATGTAAGATTTGGAATGTGTCTATAATTATGTGTGCTTATCATGCAATTGCATGGGACAGACAACAATTTCATTCTCTAAATATATGAAAGCAAACCTGTTTACCACATAGGAGTAACTGGAATTACATTAATTACCCCATATCCTTTGCCTTCAGTATTTCCTGAGAATGCTGTTTTGTTGACTATTTATTGGGTGAGGTTCCCCCATATAGAAACATATATCTATGTTTTAAAATGGAGTTTTAAATCTCTAAATCTTCACTTCAGTGAAAAAGATAGGAGATAGGACCAGTCAAGGATTTTTCATGAAGAATGAAGCTGCAACAAGTGTTTCATTGCTGTAATTTATGCTTTCCTTCCCAAGAGAAACAAACTATGTTTTGTGAAGAGCAATACCCCAGACCCTCTATGGTCTCCAAAGTACCCCATGGGGTGTGCAAGACCATTCACTAGGCTGCAGAAGGAATATATTTTTGTTTATTCACTAAAAAAAAACCAAAACATTTTGAAATAGTGGTTATTTCATCCTTATCCTTTATAAATGTTTTGCTTGTTTTATAATGCAATATATTAGTAAAGTAGCACATCTATGTAATTCCTAAGTAAATAAATACGAACACAGAGGGGGCCCATGATCAAAAATGTTTTACTGATAGATATGTGTGACCAAAAAAATTTGGAGACCACTGCCCTAGACAGCTTTAAATATAAATATTTGAACATCAATTAGATAATGCAAGATGAGGAAACTTTAGCAAATTTAAAATGGGACATTCTTATATCCAATATAAAATATAAACCCTTACTAGAAAGTCCTGCAGTCACTGAAAATATTTTAAGTGATAATTAGAAGAAAAACCATCCATTATATTACAACTTTACT